CTGCGGTGTTCGCCACCTTCCATTAGTCGTGGCGGGCCGCTGAATTCCCCGACCGGATCTCTCCGTCGCCAATCAGCCTAGTAAGCTGATTCAAGCACAAGGTGGCCCAGGATCGCGCGACTCCGCCGCATACCAATTTGATGACCCACAGTGCATTCGCGTCACGGGTCGGGTCATATGGAGTGGTTTCTCTTTGATTTCCAGCTGAATATTCGCTCAGGCTTATAGTGGTTTTACCACGAATTTGAATTGCAATATGCAAATCAGTCTGTCTGCGACGCGTTGCATTTTCGTTTAATGAGCTCTGAAGACCCTCTACTATACCGGGTAATCTTGGCGTGGCATATGTTCACGCGCTTCTTGTCATACGTACGGCACAATATTTTAGAACTGCCTCGTCATATGGGGGATACGTAGAGGTAAAGTGTCTCAAATTAGGCATCTTAAAATGCGTGTTTTAGTACACAGTTTTGCTGCGCCGAGAGCTAACTATATTATTGGCCGCGGTGAGCGCATAATACATGTTGGCCAAACAATGATGGTGAGCTCTTAATAAAGCAACTGTACTTCGCCCATCGTGGATGATGGTTTTAACTTACTTTTGAAAATGTTGTGGCCTACGATCACAGGTGGATTCAACTAAGTTACGGTACAATCATGGTACGAAGCACAGACTCCGGCTAGTTGGCTGGCTGCGGTCGCAAACTATCCCCATGGACATCATAAGCTGGGAAACCGAAAACCGCTTACAGTGATGTGTGATGTGAGGCGATTTTGAAGCGCTCATTGTGGCCCAAGACTTCATTTTACCCACGATAAGTTAATGGCAAAAAGAGGCCTCAGCGGCAGGCAGAAGTTGCATTGAAGCGTGTGCAAAAATAACCGACGCTCGGTAGTCTGAGTTGACAGCCGGGGGGGGGGGGGGGGGGGGCAGAGAGCGCCGATCTTTCTTATGGTGATGTGACAGAGGATGATTCAGACATCATAAGCATATGTAACGGTTTATGATTGCAAGTTTAAAGAAACATTTAAGGACACAAAACAGGCCCGGAACCCCAAATTACGTATGGCCTGTTGAATTTCAGGCTCTTTTTGTCCTAACTGCAGATGACACGAACAAACTGTTACTGAGGTTACCTTGGTTGACAGAAGAGCGCCGCGCCACATCACGGTACCTTTTGTGACATGTCGCCTGGCCTAAGATATGCTTACAAGGATTGGGTCCGTCCCAAAAGTAATTTTGGTAGTGTAATGCATAGGAAGTCATGCCATCTGGTGCTGACCCATTGCATATTTCATTTTGTTGCCTTGTTCTTGGTCTTTACACTCCAACAAGTCGGCAAGTTTGGTCGTATTATCAGGTACGACAGCGCTTTAGATAGCAAGCACCCCAGTGACATGTTTTTGGGATGGTTGAAACACATTTAGGAATGATAATTTTCAGGTTATATTGGAGAACAAAATGGAAGGAAAACGTGTTTTTGTACAATACAGAGGAATGAAATGCAGTTATACCTACCCCATCGATTTTGACGTGGGGGACACGTGAACCAGGGTGTTGGCCTCCATCAGGGCAATTGTTTTCATGACCTGTGGCCAAGTGCGTGGTAAACACGCAGTACTCGCAACATGTTCCAATGGGTAAAGTCAAGAGTAGCCAACGATGTGTGTCGATCTGGGCGCGATGAAAATGGTCCACAGAAATATGATTGACTCTGGGTCAAGCGCTTGTTACTTAAACGGCCACTTGCCATGTGTTGTGTGAGACGAAGTGTACTGGGTGACCAAGTTCTTTCTCCGTCGCAGCATTTTACATGCTCGTGATAAAACAACTAGAACATATCATAAGTTTGTAGAGGTAACTGGTAGCTGCTCTGATAAGGTTTGATGCCTCGATTCGTGCACTGTCATTTTTATCTCCTTCAGATGTGGGTAAACGCAAACCCCGGCATTACTGCATTATGGGTAGGGGATGCCGTGGCGTCAAAAACGTTGTTCTTTGCGGGCTGATTTAAACACAAATATTTCCATAAACCGGATTTTTTACCTTACATATTCAATGAAGTATTTTCAGCTGGAAAATTGCATTGGTTTGCACCAGAGCTACAAAATTATTGCTGAAATGCGTTTTCGCTCCACCCTCGACAGAGAGATGGGTAACACATTCACCAGTAGTTTATAACGAAGAACTGTAGCCGGAAGTACTTAGAAACAGTCTGTGTAAAAGAGTACAGCATACAACAACAACACACCGTAGGGATGAGGCACGGCGGGCCAGATGGGCCCGCGGCACCTTGACACGCGCGTTAAGAAGTTGGAATGCACACCCTGTAGCCTTAGGGGAGCGTTGTCATGGTGGACGCAGGATCGGCCTGCCCTGGCCGGGGTAGTGAGTGGTGAACCCCGGAAGACTTAAATACAGCGCGCGCCATTTCCGTTCAAGAAAGCAGAGTTTCCTGTAAAATGGGACGATTTCTGGCGAGTTTTGCAATTTCTGCCTGTCAAGTCGTGACCCATGTCTCAGCTCGGAAATAGTCTTGAGGATATGTTAGGACAGTCGGGTAGCACTTCCTGCCCACCATTTTTATCTAACTCATCCGTCATTATGGATCTGCAGGTTAACTAACACCTAGGAAAATCGTGGCACAGCAATAACGAAATTCTTGGCACCTGCCCTCCTCACATTACCTTATTTTTACATTTTACTCCATATAAGCGCAGCAGTACGAAAGTGTATGCTGAATCGCTTCTCATTAATTACGGCTGCAGACATAACAAATGCTATTTATTTATTTACATATGAGTATTGCTTTTACAAGAGGCATTACAAATAAATATGTAGGCGCGTTTATCACGACGAATATGGCGCGGGAGCTGGAACTAGGAAACGTAGCCTGGTAGGATCTTGTTTTGGAGGGTAATCCTAGTATTGAATTGTCTTTAGAAGATTGGAAATTCAAAATGTGCAATATCTATTCATGTAGCATTGAGATAAAAATGTGGAACAGGATTGTCACTCAGTTCATAGCAAAATTTCCGTTTTTCATCATGTTACTAGTATCTACCAACCTTTTCGTAGTATCGATACAAACTATACTACGGACTATGGAACTTTAGTCCCATGGTGACACGACGTCTGCGTAGCCTTTCATTCTCGCAGCCTTGGGTAAACGTTTTATGCCACTTTATAAGCAGCGCGCCAAAGGAAAATACAGCACTACATCCTCGTAGTAGTATACGACACCAGATTCGACGCCTGTGGAATGCGGTGATGTGACTGAACGCGATAGGCTACATCGGATGTCCGGATGTGCTGTTTTTTACGACCGTTCGGGGTATGATGGCAGTGTTGTCTTTCCCACGACCGTGGCCGATACCCGACGGTCACAGCTGGTACCCGTCACTTGCACTGTGGACGGTGTAAATGTACAAACTTGGTCAGGTATCGGGACTCCGCCTATGTATCGCAAGGCAACACGTCACGTGATAGAACGTGTTTATATTGCGATGGCATAAAACAGAATGCAATGACAGCATGAAAGGATGACATAATGATGAGATCGATGCAAACGGCCTCTAAAGTTGACGTATTGTCTGGATTTCTCGATCTGACAGCGGTCCGGCCGTAAACCTTGACAAGCGGCGGCTACCACTTCAGCCCACTTCGGCCTTTGAGCACGTCTGTGAAGGGCCTCCGGTTGGCCAGTGTTGGCCTGTTCGGCCTGGACCTGGTGGTTCGTCGAAGGTTATAAACAATGTAGTGCAGTATGTTCCAGCACACTGTTGTGTGACCGAGGCTCAGTTGACGTCACTGCGGTCTGACAACGCGTCGGCTGATTGTGGATAATACATTATTCAACAGTTTTTGTGCCGCTGCGTTCTCACGGTGCGTCGGTTGATTGAAGATTGTCCATTATTCAGTAGTTGTTTTTGCCGTTGCATTCAAAGACAAGCAAATGCACCAATTGCTTTGTGTCAAAATAGCCAACAAGATGTATCTGTGTGGTGGTTAATTTTTTTCCTGCGCATTGTTACTCAACTGCTCGCACGGTTTAAAAATGTTTTGCGTACAACTCAATGCTTGGGATCTGCCTAAACGCTAGAATGTGCTGCCCACCAAATTTAAAATGAGATGCCATCATGAATGTTTACGAAGATAAGTGCTTAATCCCTTAAAATACTCGGAACATCACAAATCGGCAACAACCCTCGTCGAAAGCGAGCGTCTGGACGCCAAAGAGCTTGCCTGGCCTTGTTTACAATTGCCGCTTGGGGTCTAGATCACAGCCAAATCATTACGGGCGCGTCATTTTCATAATTCTGAGCCCCCGGTCCGAGGCTGCCAGGCTGCACGGTTGCTTGGTCTTGTTTCCGACCGCGACACGTCCTTGGCACCCGGTCTGTCTCGCCCGTAAGGCCAGGATGCATACATCAGTGCTTTGCCGTGCAGCCGTCTGTCTTCTCTGGCCCATGCATTCAGGCTGTCCAACGGCTCCGCTATGACGTCATTAGTCCGGTAGCGTGCAGTTGGTGTGATGAAGCCATCTGTTCGGTCGCGTCCTGCGCCACGTGTGGGCTACGAATTCCGCTTCACGTGTTTGCCCTGATATTTCATGTCGGGCTGCCGGTATCTCTCGGCCTGTGTATGCTGTGTATTTTGCCCAGTTTTGGAGGTGTCTGTGTCCTGTGTCCACGCTGCGCTTAGTTTCGGCTTCTGTTCGGTCGAGCTTAATCCGCGCGCCGTGACGAAAGCATGTCCTGTGCTCAGTCTCTGCCCCATTTCCTGTCTTGTCCAGCCGTGCCCAGTGTCCTATTATGACCAGACGGTGCCTCGTATCCGCACGTGTCCAGCCTATGTCTCGCGGCGTGTCCAGGCGTGACCGGACGTTGACCTGTGTCCGCACGTGGCCGTGTCGCGACCCGTCTGGCGGCCGCGCCGGACCCCGGCACTTCTGACCCTCACGGAAGCGGCATCATCACCTGGCCTCGTCCGCCCCCAGGTGCGGGACGCCGTGGTTAAGCAGTGGCACGACCTGAGCGACCAACGTCAGCTGCGCTGCCGGCGACAGTCCCACGTCGACCGCAAGCTGAGTTGGTACGTAGCCACGTGCAAACCGACACAGGTCAGCCGCGCTGCCGTTGACAGTCCCACGTCGACCGCAAGCTGAGTTGGTACGTAGCCACGCGCAGACCGGCGCACGTCAGCTGCGCTGCCGGCGACAGTCCCACGTCGACCGCAAGCTGAACTGGCGCGTAATCACGCGCAGACCGGCGCACGTCAGCTGCGCTGCCGGCGTCAGTCCCACGTCGACCGCAAGCTGAGCTGGTACGTAGCCACGCGCAGACCGGCACACCACAGCTGAACGCGCCGGCCCTGAACGGGCCCGCGCCTCTCACCAGACGCCTGAACAAGGGGAGAAACATACGACAGACAGGCGTGCTTGGCGCCAAATTTTACGTTGTGCCCGTGAGTGCGGTTATGCGCAACAAATATAACCACAAGAAAAAGCAAGAAAGATGTGAAGATCTGTAGCTGCTGGTTGGTCCCCAGAGCGCCTTGGCTGCATGCGGCGGAAGGGGCTCGCAAGGCCCGGCCCTCTCCACTAGAAAATGTGGTGCGCGTCTTCGCCCAGCCCCGCTGCTCACAGACCCGCCGCCGTCGTGGGCGCCCGGTGGATTGTTCGCGTCATCCCTCCCCTCTAGTGAATCTCTCCCTGCCCCTATGTCAAATTTAGCACATGTCTTATTAGCGTGCGCGTGAATATGTATTGACAACTGAATATTCGAGTTGCACGTAAAATCCGCAACAATAGATGGGCAAAGGACACCTGATACTATTTTGCGCCACGCAAGAAATTTTGAGCGCCTGCCTCGCGCTGAACTTTTTGTAGCTATCTTTTTAGTTACACCACCATCCCATTCCGAAGTCCCCTGTGGCCGCCAGTCCAATCAGAAACCTGCAAATGGCGAGCATGTGCGTAAGGACGTCGGCGAGGAGGAGGGAGGGGGAGGGACAGTGCACCGGAGTGGCTTCGTGGGCATTGGGGCAGATACTAAAGGTCGTATTGATATCGTATCGCAATACATTACTGTTCGGTTGCACTCGTTATGCTCGTCAACATCAGCCAACCACTTCGCTGTCCCGGGCGCGTATTTGTGTGGGCTGACATATGAGGGCTCGATCCTTTTACGGTGTATCTAGACACAATGAGCGATGATCCTACCTGGCATGCTTTTATCAAAGACGAAGCATTTCCCGTTGAAAGCCACTCTCACTTCGTTCATGGTAGCAGAGATCAGCGCAGGGCTTCCTCCTCAGCCTGACAGGCTTTCAGTTTTGATGTTATAAAATCGTTTTTTACGGGTGAGAGGCCTTACTAATGTGCGTGCCGACCAACTGCTTTGTTGGGTTGTCTGCGCCTTGGAACCAGTGATCCAATATCACTGCCGTCGGCGATGAGGGACTGGCTTGAGTTCAGGATCGTGTGTGACATGTCCGAGTGAGACAGGCTTTCAGCTCCTCAGTCCGAAAATAAGCGGCATCGATCATCGAGCGCGGCGGGGTTGGGGTCCGCTGGGCTGGGAGAAGCCTCAACTGTCTCCCTGACCCCCGTCCCACACACCATCGGCATTCCGCCGCGGCCCGAACCCCATTCTGCCGCGGCCGAACCCCATTCCGGCTCGGGCCGAACCCCCATCCCTTCCACCGCGAGCCCGACAGAATTGTTTTCCGTCCCGATTGCCCGCCGGCCTGGGATCCCTTCAGACAGATTCATTCGTCGGTCGGGATCCGACCCGGGCTGCGCTGCAGCTCCGACCCACGTCGGAGCGTCCTCCGCCCCGATCTGGCGAGAAGCCGCCGCCCGCTCTGAGCGGGAAGACTCGGCCGGGTCAGAGCGGAAGGAGAATCCGCGATGGGACCGTCTGTGCCGCTAATGGAAGGACGGGGACGGGACGGAAGTCCCGCCCATCGGCGTCATTTATTCACCCGACACGCCCTGGACAGTCATGTTCCACAGCGCCGAATGAGGCCGCTGCTGTGTCCCGCTCTAGGAAGATTCGCCGCTGGTGGTCGCGGCTTCCCCGTCGCTACACTAGCGGGCTGGCCCCGTTATCGTAGCCGGGAAACAGGCTTCTCCCGGCTTCCCCGTCGCTACACTAGCGGGCTGGCCCCGTTATCGTAGCCGGGAAACAGGCTTCTCCCGGCCTACCCGTCGCTACACTAGCGGGCTGGCCCCGTTATCGTAGCCGGGAAACAGGCTTCTCCCGGCCTACCCGTCGCTACACTAGCGGGCTGGCCCCGTTATCGTAGCCGGGAAACAGGCTTCTCCCGGCTTCCCCGTCGCTACACTAGCGGGCTGGCCCCGTTATCGTAGCCGGGAAACAGGCTTCTCCCGGCTTCCCCGCCGCTACACTAGCGGGCTGGGCTCTGGGGTCTGGCTACCGGCCGTAAACTCGCTGATTATGGTAAACAGGATGTTAAAGTCTCCCAAATTGTTGCCTGGGGTGCTGGGTGGGCGCGAATTGTGGTGAAATACGGCATGTTTAGCCTACCGTACTTAGCGCTGTTGAATGGAATGTATAATGATATGCATTGTGTGCATCCGGGGGCCCGAGTAGGAGCTTGGTATTTACATGCGTTTAACCATAGCATTCCACTGCTGCGACGCGGTTGCAGATCTCAATCGCGCAAGAACGAATGCACCATTTCCCCGACCGTTGCTCACAACCAAAGCGATCGCTGTGGCGGCGGCCGGCGCGGCACAATTCCGCGGGGCGCATCTGGTGATTTCTCGAGACGACCGCGGCGGGGGCGCCGTGAGGCAACGGCGGGTCAGCGGAGCGGAGCAGCGGCGACACAGAGCGCGCGAGCCGCAGAATTACACCGGCTTCCACGGCCGTAGCGCGGCTCCCGGGTGCAATAGCCCATCGTGCTCCTGGCGAGCGCAAGTAGACGCGGGGGACGGAGGCGTCCCGGCAGGCTGGTGAGGCGGGGGCGGAGCCGCAGCGAGTGGATTGGAAGGCGCGGCCTCAGCTCGCGCGCGTCGCGTCTGTCACCAGTCCCGCCGCGTGCGCCGATGTGATTGGTGTCAGCGTTAGCGGTGCTGTAAAGCATTTGTGGCGCGACGATGGCAGACAGGCTCTGTTGCAATCTGGGTTTCCAGTAATTACGAATGCTCACCGAGTTAACGCACTGTTACACGTCGCTATCGTGCACGGTCCCTGTGCTTGTAGGTCTAAAGCCAGTCCAGCGCGTTGAACTGTCGGCAATATTGGAAGGGATGATAGACTCAAAGGTGTCATTGTCCAGCGGAGGTTCCACTTCTGCACACCGTTATCGTCGTATGAGAGGAGGGATTTTCGGATGGCATTGGAACGAGCGGTTCTTTCGGCTGCTGTCGCGATTGTGTGGTTTCCATGAAATTTCGCTCAAACGCGGCATAGACGCGATGTTTGATGATACACCAAGAAGCTGTGGAGACGTTTGATCCACTTAGCGTTGTTAAATATTCTGTCATCGAAACTAAATGGTTCTAGTCCCAGCCGGACAGGCGGTCCTGTCACCTTCAAGGAAAGCTGGGCTTCCCAGCCGGTCCTTTCCATCCTGAAAATTAAACATGCTGGGGCAGAACGGAAGTGGAATGGGATAGGTGGCGTTGAACAGCATCATATTATGCTCGTGCATGGTTGTCTTTCGTCAGCAAAGCCCTCAGGCAAGCCTCCATTAGATTAGTGTCACTGAACCTGAGAGCTGGTGGCCTTTAATGGATCAGACCACGTCAGCGAAGCGAAAATAACGCGTTTATTTGTTGATGTTTATTTGTGCTTAAGAGCGCGCTCGTTGCAAAGGTCCTTCCGCGCAAAAATTAGCGAGTTTTGACTTCTTTGACATTCTATCTACAAGCAGTCGGGGGTTGGTTTGACCGTAGGGAACACGGTAGTGTGCAGCTGTGGACTCGCTGCCGGTTACACACGTGGCTTATAGCATCAGCCAGTGACGCCCGTGGCGCGTCATATCAGGTCTAACGAGTCAGGTCTGGTGTGAGTAGACCACACGTCGTTTTCTCGCGAACTAAGCATGTTATGACAATAGAACAAACGATGCTGAATGGCGCCTGCCAAACTCCATCAAGTTAAGGCCCACACTACGGACAATTTGTCAAACTAGGTTATGAAATGTCAGCGCTCGCTCATGCGATCTTGTATTGGTCCCAAATGGCATAGCTTTGTTTCGAACGACCTGGCCTGCTAATGGTGCGTGGGTCACACCATAGCGAGGTATGTCAAGATGGAGAAAAGAAGTGCCAGGGAGTCACTTGGACCGCATATCCCGCCATAGAGGTCCACTGATGGAAGCTTGAATCCTAAATGTCGTCGGCACCGTCTGGAGAAAAAGGTCGTCATTTACTTCTGATGATGCGTGGTTTCTGTAATTGAGCATATAAGGTGTGGACAGTCTATTTGCAGAGGTAATTACACTTATATACCGCATTCACCAAGCACGCAATGATTTAACTGCAAGTTCCTCCATCACAACCACGGCCACGACCCGTTCTCTCGGCTACCACTGCAACCGTGCCATTCCCCTGACCGGTGCGTTCTGTATCGGTGTTCCAGTCCCCTGACCGGCGTGCTCTGTCTCGGTGTTCCAGTCCCTGACCGGTGTGTTCCATCTCGGTGTTCCAGCCGCTGACCGGTGTGCTCTGTCTCGGTGTTCCAGTCGCCTGCTGCACATGCCCAGCCACCGGCCGGGAGAGGGAGGCGCCGCCACCAACCGGACCGCCACCAGCGAAGACCTATGACCGGGTGTGGCTGCCGGAGGCGGCGGGCGCGGCCCCCTGCCGGCGCCCGGCCGCCCGCTGCCGGCCGCCGCGAGCGGCGGGCGCGCGGTGCCGCGCCCTGGCGGCCGCCTCGCCAGGTGCCGAGCCGCGCCAATCGACGCGCTGTGATCCGGACGCCTTCGCTGCGAGCCGAGAGGGATGCGTGCTTTTCTACAGGAGTGTGGCGCGACCGTTGTGGAGCGCGGCGGCGGTGGCGCCGAGACGCGGCTTTTGTTATACGGGTACAGTTTGGCTCGCTGGTCATGTGGGAAGCATCGCTCGCGCCCGTTCTGGTGCGGACGTCATTGCAGGCTTTGGTGTTGCGTCGCGCTCGTTGTGAGAGTGACGCCACGCTTGTTCAGTATGCGTGCGGGGAAGTGCCCGCTGCGTGAGTGCGTCATGTTGCGCATCATATACTCATGAGGATTCGGCGAAAACGGAAACTGAATTATCGATCGGCAACGGTTTCAGATGCCAGATATAAGTGTGAGAACGCCGATGCGGCTGCGTTGTACAGGCTTTCAGGTGCTTATCTCAGTTTGTTATAGCTGCATATTCTCGGCAGCGGACGAGGTTGCCGCCGCGGAGAATGGAGAGCCAGAAGGTCAGGAAGCTGCGGTGTTCGGTGTTGCGCTTGTTCGAAACAATCAAATCCCGTATCATGTACTTCTCAGTCCGAAGAGCTTAAATCGTTGTTCACTAGGGCTTTAAGTTTCATACTCCATAAGGCCTGAGCTGGAGTGCAATGAATAAATCCAATGATGACACGCTCGTCTCTGAGTTGACGCCAGTGTGATCTTGCTGTTCACTGTCTGGGTCTGGGAGATTTTCAGCCGTAAAGACCGCGTAGGCTGAGGCCGGTGTTGCACACATGAATCAAGGAACGTCCCATTTATCTGCGTGTATGAACAAACGGCCGGGGCTTTGACAACACCCTTACCCCTCGCCTTACAACGGGGCCTCAGAGCCCCTCTCCATGCTTGTTTGCGGAATGGCTTCTGGCTGGTTTTGGGCACGGTTCTAAAATTTTGGGCACTGCGATTTAAATAATTTTACACGCATTTTCTGATGTTAGATTTTTATCTCAACAGTTTGTGATCTATGATCTCTCTCGAGGTCATGTTTCGGTGATATATTTCCCAAAAGCAATCGATAACCTTCACTTCACGGCGGACATTTATTACAAAGAGATTTTCTGAAGTACTCTTTCTTTTATATCACCCTGAACTTCATTGCTATCGTTCTGATGGCTTTTGAAAGGCCAGGTAATCCCAGGTTAAGCAAGGTCAACTTTCGCTGCAGACGCGCTGTCCGAGCATGCAGCCGGTGCAGGCGCGCTGTCCGAGCGTCCAGTTGATGCAGGCGTGCAGGCGATGCAGGTGCGGGAGAAGAAGCAAATGTCTGAACTTAAGACATTTGTCTTGCCCGTTGTTCAGACCACGCTTTGTTCGCTCTTTGCTGCTCCCAAATATACACCTTGTTTTACTTCGGTCACTTCTACTAACAGTCAGCATCCTGGACCAACTAAGCTCCCACCCACGCTTGGCCATTCCTGCCCCTAGTCCGCGGCCGCTCCGGCCGGCCGGGCAGGAACGCTGGCCGGGCAGGCTAAATGCCAGTCCGGGAACCCATCGCGAATAGCCTACTACACATAAACGACTCGGTCATGACATTTCTATTAACCTTGATCGCCGCGTGGTTAACGGAATGCCAGGATTTGAAGGACGTTATTCTGACTTCATGAGCACCACGATGAGCTTAAAATGCCCTCCCATAATAACTCTCTCACGTCTTTACTCAGCTCAGGAAGCAGATAGTTTTAGATCTTGGACAGGGCACGGCCATGAGCTGCATCAAAAGGTCTACAACATGGCTATTTCAGCTCTAAACCCCATACAAACGTGGAACGCTTCCTTTTATAATTACGTACATTAGCGGTTGGGAGAACACACCACAGGATGTGTGCATGGGTTATGAGCATTAACACGCGCCCGGGTGGCCGGCTGGATACCCTTCGCTCGGGTGGGGGGTCAATTTGACTCCCCTAAGATCTCGAGAACTAAGAAAGCTAGAGACACCAAATTTAGAGGGTGCTTTGACCTGTATGTGAATTCACTTAGGTCAAATTTTGAGCTTCCTAGGTCATGACCTTTAGGTCAAACAGGGGCAAACAAGGTCAAATTCCAGGCTGGTCTCAAAGTGCCCCCAGAACCTAGACAACTGTTTCTAAGCAAAAGGTCACAAGCCCATTTGAGGTCATTGACCCTGTTTGACCTTTTTAAGGTCATGGTGACCAAAATAATAGAAGATTGCTCTGAGTTTTGCATTTGAATAAACGACAAAGACTACGCTAGGCAGTATGTTCATAAAACAAAATTTCAACCCGGGTCATCTTAGGTAAGTGACCTGTTCTAACCTTTAAGAAGTCAATGGAAGATGTATAATGCGGTTCCTGCTGTCAAACTATTCGAAATGAGCACCAGAAACTATCCCATACAGCAAACCCTAGAGTAATAAATCAGGCTGCTTTTGACCTTGGTCTGACCTTCATACCTGACCATAGGTCAACGTAATTTGCTCATTCAATACTTGTGGTGCCTAAGAAAGCATCTCAGAGATATAAGGCTTCGTCAAACACTCCGTTGTTGTATCAGATTGAAAGATTCCCTAAAAATTGCCTTCGCTGAAACCATGATCTGACTGACCTGCCATACGTCCATGACCTTACAAGGTATATCTAAATTTCTTGCGTCAAACGATCCGCTATTCAAATGTCAATAGTCTGCAAAATTTGGTCCGACTCCGCTGCGCTGTTCGGGAACCATTCTGGAACACCTTTGGGGGTCAATTTGACCTCCCACCCGAGCGCGTGTTAAATGTTTTGAACCACTGAACGTGGGAAGCATCCGCGATAATGAACAGCGAGAGTTGAACATCAGGACAATGAACATCACCATGTGTAGGAAGTTCCGTGTTGCATCAGATTTGTCATTGGAGCCCGTTATAAATATTTCAGTTATGGACCATTATGGGATTTGAAATACATCCAAACAGACCATGACTTGCGCTGTTTTGCCGACCTTAAACAAGGTAAAGGATGTGATGATTTGGGCTTGGGGCGCACCGACTACGTTGGTTATATGGCGCCCATAAGGTAAAGGATGTAAACTGCATTTTGCCTTACGAAACCCTCCACTCACCCAACTCTGTAGATGAGCGTGCGTGGCTAAAATTCGGCATTGACTGCAACGGAGTTTTGAGCGCCTCGGAGAGAAGACAAATATTGAGTTCGTAACCACATGTTTTTGCTCTTTGGAGAGCGAATCAAGTAGAATCAGGGCTAGGTCTCTTGACGAATAGTTTCTGGACGGATTTTTTTTTTTAAATCTGAAATTGCCAAAGATCTCGAACATGCAGTTAACGATTCATTTGTATTTTCCCCGGCACACTTCGCCGGGCTATTTCTCTGGGTTATCGGAATGTCCGATGCCTTTGGCGCTGGAGAACGGAGGCGATTATCAGAAGTTATGTGCGCGGAAAAGCGAGTAACCGTTAAGAGTCGCCAGCGCGCCTGCTTTAAATCCGAGTCGGGTCACCCCGCGTGCACGCGAGTCCGCTCCCCAGACGAGTACCAGCGGGGGGCGGCGGTGCGGTAGCGCAGCTTGTCCGGTTGTGTTCACGGAGCATGGACGAGTCCAGCCGGACGCTGATGTAAAAACGTGACCCGATGAGCTGACGAACTTCAGTACCTCGGCAGATGGAGAGGAGGCTGACTGGATGGAACGCGGCCGATTTCAGCAGCTTCCGTTCAGCTCGTCATGCCGTTAGCCTCGGGGACTTGTTGAAGATTATATAGATATATAGATTATGATACATTATATAGACTGCGTATGATAGCACTCGAGATTTGCAAATCGCGTGAAAACGGCGCAAGCCAATTGTGTAAAACTTTGGTGGACTTGTATATAGCTCTTGAGACAACGCAGGGGTCGCATTGCACCCTGGTGCAAATGCCATGACCTAATTAGATTAGGCAGATATCACATCAAATCGCACCAATGCGTAGTGTTAAGCGAGCTCTCCAACGTCGTTTTCTTCTTGGCTCTATGCGAGTGAAAACACCTTTCTCGCGGTGAGCGTAAATAAGACGAAACATGATTTCCACTCATTTGGTACGTGTGCTCTCCAGTGCTCTCCGGCGCTGTCGAAATCACCGCCCAAGTGTAGCGCCGGATGTGGGCAGAGTCCGGCGGGAGGGGCACGACTTCCGGCGGCTCTGTCAGTCCTGTAGGGCGGCAAAGTTCGGCCGCTGCCTGCACATGTCAATTGGCCCCGACTGTTGCTGGTGAGTGGTTAAAACCGTAGTCCGGTGGCTGCGACGAATCTGTCATCTGACCAATTGTTCCCGGTACGCAGCGTTCAGTTTCATTAGCTTATGAGCTCCTTCATTTGCGCGCTGACATTCTTGCCAGCCTGATCAATCTGGCAAAGACAAGCAAGCTTGATCCGACATGCCAGCAATTTATTTTACATAAAGTAATTGTAAAATCAGTGTAATTAGGCAGATCAATAGTTAAACATGTGCAGCGGTGGATCTCTATGAATTAGGAGCTCATGATTAGGGGCGGCGGGGGATCTCTCCCCCTCCCCTCCTTCTCTGAAATCGCTATATCCGTTTCTTGCTTAGATCGTACTATTTCTGTGTTAAATCCCTACGAAACAAAAAACAGACAAATTCACAACACGCGACCTAATTTGACCGCGATAAAGGACCTTAGGTCACTTAACACACACCGGGGTGAGTGTTATCCATAGCGCCCACCCAGCCTGCGAAGTTTGTGTTTTCACACAAAAATGAACGCTTAAGAGCGAGACAACACAGCCTGTGCAACATGCCTATTGCATCTGCATCAGGTGCAGCTGAAGGGGAGCGCAACATCGTCTCCAGCTTATCAACTCGCTATCTTATTTTCCCCAGGCTT